TCAAGAAGAAGCTGACGGAGGAAGGAGGCTCTGGGCTGCCGGTGATGTTCTGTTTCTTGCTCCACATGCTAGTTACAGAGGCACGGCTTGTTTTCAGGAACCGCTAAGCAGTTCACTTGTGCTATGCACACTTTTCTGTATGAACACTGCAGTTTACTAAACCAACTGAATGAAGACATGAATGAACGGGCGTGCGGGGGACGGACTGAGCGAGAGCCTGGGGAGTGCAGGCTGGAGGTGCGCGCGCAGGTGCAGGGAGAAAGGCGCACAGCGAATGCGGCCCAGGAAGGAGCCGGCGAGGCGATGGGTGGTGGAACGCCGGGTCTCGGTCTCGTCTGCTGCCCGCCCCTGCCTCAGGGCTGAAGAGACGTCTCTTTTATGTCACCCAGAGTCAGAAGGAACCCCTTTCTGCCTCACTTCTCTGCCTCCTCCATGACATCTATAAATAGGTGTGTTTACGGGAGGGTGGGGGCTCCGCGGAGCGAGGCCAGGTCCGGGCAGGGCCTGGGGAGGAGGAGCTGTCCCCGGGTGGCACGAGCCTCCCACACACTGCCAGATGCCACACTGGAAAGTCACAAGGGAACCCACCCCTGCCGTCCAGCCCACAGTGGGCCAGGCGGCTGGCTCCTTCACCTGCGTCTGACCGAGCAGGTCTAAACGGTGGCGTTAAAGGGAAGAACAGAAAGACACAGATGGAATATTCCACAGGCCCCTCCCTGGTCCCAGGGACGGCACCACTGGCTGCACCACGGAGTCCAAGGCCCTGTGCCTCAGTGCATGCTGCCTGATCTGTGCCTCAGTTTCCTCATCTGCAAAGTGGGGCAGTACCCCCCACCCCAGCCTCGCATATGTGTGGAAGCTTCGCGCTGCCTCTGGCACCAGCGGGCTTGGTCTGTTAGGACCTGCTTCCATTCTGCGGTCCTTGACGAGACGGCCGCTCTGAGCCAGGGGAGGAAAGACCCAGCTTGGTCCAGGCCAGAATAAATGGTATCGACCATGCTGGACTTGGAAGGAGCCCAGAGGGCAGGGGACACAGCTCAGGGAGGCAGTGAGTGGCCCAGAAGAAAGCCAAGAAGGCTTCCTGGAGGGGGCGAGGACCCCAGAGAAGGGTGCAAGGGCCAACCGCGAACACTCCCTCTAGGCAGTCCGTGCGGGTGGCACAGGAGGGGTTAACTGGGCTTAGCTGTCCCCGCTCTGCACGCTGGACTGCAACCAACTGCTTGGGTTTCCAGCTCCCCTCCTGCCTCAAGGCCAGGCCTTATCTTGTCATCTAGACTGTCCCCAGAGCCTCAGAGGCAGCGCAGACATGGCAAGGGCAGGCGCACGGCGAGCGTGTAAGCCACGTATGGAAAACTACACCCAGGAGTGCTGGGAAAAAGGAATGCTCACCACTTCGTGAGCACTGTGTAAGCACGAGAACGGGGATGCGTCCCACTGCGTTCTGGGCCCAAAGAGCTGCCACATCTGATCCAGGAAACTACGGGAGCCCCAAAACTTTTTCTCAGAGTGTGCCCCATCCGGGCTCCTAGGGCAGTCACCTCCGTTCCTGCAGCAGCCCCCCCCTGGCTTCCCATGGGCCCAGAGGGCCGGAGGAAACGCTGCCCCAGATGTACGTCTCCCCACTCCTCCCAGCTGCGGCACAAACAGAACACCCACATGTCCTTCCCTTCTTCTCTTCCTCCCTGCTTCCCTCACACATGCCAGTCTGCAAATCGCCCTCCTGGCCCCTGCACAGGAGACCTGAATGCTAAGCGTGGTTTCTTCTTCTCTAACGATCCTGAGGGTGGTAAGAACTCGGACCGCAGATGTTAGATTCCAGAAGGAACTGTCGCGGAGGTTCCTGCTCTGTCGTCAGGGGAGCAGCTGATTGTGGGACACCACTGTGGCCTAAAGCGCCTCCTATAGGAGTTACAAGTTTGTTGGGGGTTCCTCGTGCACCCAGGCCTTAGCCTCAAATAGACAAGTTCAAGTTAAAAACACTCCACAGCCCCGTGCAGGCCCTGGCCACGTCCCGATGTCCACCACGCCTGGGAAGGGCGGTAGGCTCTCCAGCTGCCCTGCTCATCAGACAAGCAGGGAAGGGCCCTGGCAGGGTTTTCCATCTTAAACGCAGTGCCAGAATTCCAAAGGTCTAGGGCTTCCCAAATTCAGGACGCAACCACAGAACGCCCCAGGATGTAGCGACAAGTGGCACACGTCAAAAGAAGCAAGTGGCAACCAGAGCTGGATTAATGACGGAGTTGCACCTGCCCATTCAGAGCCCTCGGACCTCCGCTCTCCCCTCCAATGACAACAGGGGCTGTGCCCTGGGCTCCCGGGACAGCTGGGTGGCACTCAGTATGATACCCCCCCAAAGCCTTTCATGAAGGTTTGGCCACAGACCCCATGTGAAGCGGTAATTACATATGTTTTTAAAGCCCACTGCACAGAGCAAGCTAATCAGCGCCTTGAGAAGCGGCGTTCATTAGCAGAGGAGCGTGCCACTGCTTCCTGCCCCACCTCGAGACGTGAGCTCCAAGTTGAAGCTCGCTGGAGAAATCGCTCAAGGTTAGATTAAAAATAAGGACGCCCATGAAGATTAACCTGACTCATTAATATCTCTGTCCAGTAGGAGACAATTCCTTGGAGGGCTTGGCTTGGGGCTGGGTTTTGTTCTAGGCCTAGGCGCACCTTAATTTGCATTTATATTAAAAAAGAAGAAAACAAACGGAATTAACTAGAAAGGGGCTTTGATTCCTGTAAATTCCAGCGCTTCTGCTAAACCGCTTCCTAGGACGGAGAGCACGCGACTTGCGCCATGTCACAGAGAGTGGGTGCGCACCTACTAAGCGCACCGCGCTGTGCCGGGGAGTTGCAGGTGGTTATCATGCAAGGCCCCTTCTACAGGTGGGGAAACTGAGGTTGGCAGCAGGGAACCGACGTCCTCATGCTCTCCTTGTGTGGCTGCCTTCGGGTTCCAAGTTCCGTGTCTTTCCACCGCAGGACAGCTGCGTGAAGACAGCCTTTCCTTGCCCGCTCTTACGCATCTATCCCAACCTTTCCTTCCAGAAAATCAATTGAACACTCAGTAAAGGAAGTGAGAAGAATCGGCATAGTCATCAGATGCCCCTGCGGTCCCACACTGATTTGAGTCCCACATGCACCCCTGGCTTAGATAACACCCTCAATTTGTCCATATTTTCCTGCCAGCTTCTCTATGAAGCCTTAATCCTTAGAAGCATATGCCCAGATTTACCAATCAGAGTCTATAAACACACCTCCATGGGAACTGTATCAGTCTGTATCTGTTCTCAGGTAAACAGAATGTCTCTGGGTTTGATTTTAACTCCAATTGTCACCTAATGCTGTAGTTCAACTCTTGGGACCAGCCACATGTCTTATGGAGTGGCGCACTGCCAGACGTCACCTGTCCTGGGTCAAATTCACTAAAGACAGCGCGAGGGAAGGACGGGTTCTCCCCTGCCCAGGGCGGCCGGTCGGCTTGGGAGGCGTAGTTCAGGCCCCTGTCCCCCAGGATCGCCGCCCGCACCTCTGCACGTTACTGCCACAGCACAGGCTGCAAGTTTAAAGGCAGACGTGATGGTGATGAGTGGCAGGCCCTTTCAGGCGCTGGAAGGGTAGGGTGGGAGAGGAAGGATTTTTCTGTGTTTGGGCCCCGGAGCCAAGGGCCTGGGGCAAGCGGGAGGGAAGCCGGTGATGGAGACAGAAGGACAATCTCCTTCCAAAAACATGAAAGCCTGCACCAATGAATTAAACATTTCAAACAAGATGACTCTCTAAAAAGTCTTTTCAACCAAGAAGGAAAGACAGGCCGTCCTGTGCTGGCGCTTCCTGTTGCATATGGCACTGAGAAGCCCTGTTCTGTCAGCACACAGAGCTCTCCAGACAAAGGAAAATACCAAGGGGGGGATCAGAGGAGGAGGTCCAGGGAAGTAAGGCAGGAGGGAGGACAGGAGGGTGAGGAGGAGGCGGCCTCCTATCAGGGCACCGGGGCAGAAACGACTGGAGGCAAAGCGGGAAAGAGCCCACCCCAGGCCAACAAGGTGGCCCTCACAGGACCCAGGGGCCGGGTGCCCTGCTGGGACAACTTGCAAACCGCAGAGACAACCACCCCGCTTCCTGCTGCGAAGGGCAGCCCCTCTGAGATAAAGTGAGCTGCCTGAGTTCCCAAAGGCCTCTCTCAAAGTGTAATTAACGTCTGCGAGTTCTCCAAAACCCCAGGCCTGGGTGTGGATACTGCCCTGGGCACCCACCAGAGTCTGCTCGGTGGACACTCTCTTGGGGGGCAACCGTAGGAATCTCCAGGGCGTGCCAGCTGGACTCTCTCCCCAGACTGGTGCTGAACTTCGCTTTCTGGGCAGTCTGCAGACTTGCCTTCCTCTCCGTCCCAGGTCCTGCCCTGCCCCCAACCCCCGACCTTGCTCCTAGCAGCGTTCACCCCACCGCCACCCCGCTCCAATCACTAGACAGCGATCTCTCTCCCCCCAGGCCTGGCACCGCCAGATCCAGAATTTGAAGAAGAGGCGCCGGCAGGGAGACGAGCTCAAATCCGGGCTCAGAGACGGCGGGAGGCTGGCGAGGGGTCGGCACCTCCCACGCTCCAGGAGCGGTGCTCCGCCACCCGAGTCCCTCCCGGCGCCGCGGGTGCCCGGCCAGCCCTCGCCAACTCCCCGCGAGGTAGTAAGCGTGCGGCTTGGAACCCCGCGCAGCCCAGCCGCGCCGGGGCGGCGGGTGGGTGGGTGTCTGCTCCGCGATTATTCTTAGCGCTCCACGCTCTTCGCAAAAAGTGGCGCCTCCGCCCTCCCGGCTCCCGCACGCTCGCTCGGGGCTCGGCGCGGAGGGGCGCCTCGGGCGGGGTCCGCGAGGGGGCGCAGGCGAGGAGGGGGCGCCGCGCTTGGAGCCCCGGCGGCCGCCTGCGTGCAGCCCTCGGCGCCCCGAACCCAGCCGCGCGCCCGCCGCCTCCCCGCGCCGCTCCCGGGGCGCGCCCAGCCCGTCCTCACCGATGGTGGTGATCACCGTGATGGCAAAGTAGAAGGAGCCGGCGAATTTCCACTGGACGCCGGCGCGGTGCGGCTCCGACTGCAGGATCACCAGCTCCAGCTGCCGGTAGTCCTCGCTGCTGATGTTGTACTTCCCCTTGATCCGGGTCTCCTCGGCTTTGAGTTTCTCCTCCTCGCGCATCTCGTGGTCCGACTCGAGGGCGTCGAAGACGGCGGCGCCCACCAGCAGGTAGGTGAAGGTGCAGACGATGAGGGACAGGGTCCGCACGTTCTGCCTCTTCATGGCCGCCAGCGAGGAGCCGGCGCGGGGGGCATGTCCCGCAGGCTCGCAGCCGCGCGCGTCCCACTGCAGCGCCCGGCCGCCGCCGCCTCCAAGTTGTAAGCGGCGGCGGCCGCGGGGAGGCGGGGGGCGGGGAGGCCGGCGGGGCGGCGCGG